ATTGCTTTAAACCAATGACGCTGAATTAATCCTTTGATTTTTGGGACTGCTTTTATGATTAGAGCGAGAGAGCGAGGAGGGGGAGAGAGGGGAGAGAGACGGGAGAGGGGGAGGAAGAGGGAACAACAACCTGACGATGACTCGGGCAGGGCAGCAACAGCGAGCTGGAGAGTCTTTCATCAGCAGCTAATGATATAAAACCTGTAATCTACAGGAGGCAGGGGGGATGGGAGATCAGATCAGATGACTAATTATACTCTCTGGAGACTAAGGCAGTGAATTATGGGTAAAAGTGCAGGGCTGGACCAAGAGAGAGAGGCTCTGCTCACTCGGCTGAGTGGAGATCGAACAGACCAAACTCCTATTTTGGTTTCAATTTCAGACTCAGCAGGTGGTGGGCTAGTGTGTGTGTGTGTGTGTGTGTGTGTGTGTGTGTGTGTGTGTGTGTGTGTGTGTGTGTGTGTGGCTGGACAGGACAGAGAATTCAGGTGCCCCATCATATTTTTCTCTCTATCTCCATCCACTGGAATAAAGTGACTTTTTAAGCCTTTGTGATCCTTTGTTCGTGTTAAAAAGTGGTTTCTATGACAACAGAGCCATTCAGGGTTTTCTGTTTTTAAAGTCACTGTGTTTTTGTGCAGACAGATTGTTTTGTTTTGGTTCTTTTGTTGTTCCATCTCTATTTTATTTGAGGTTGTAGAGTTGAGTTTAGGGAGGTAGATGTAGTTGTGACTTTAGACTGACAGAAAAACTTTTGGAGAACTTTGTAACAATAAAGAACAAAAGGGGATAAACTTGAAGATTTTCAGTTTAATAATGAAAACCTACTTTATGTGGCACCTTTAGAAAGAGTTTACAAGGAGTTTTGACAATGAAGAAAATGAAAAAACTCAGACAGGAATAAAAAAAAAAAACCCTGAACAACATGACCTGTCAGAGAAAGACAAAAAAGAAGTGCAGAAGGGGAGAAAAACAGGAGGAAAGAAAACCTGCAAAAATTAAACTGTGAAAAAAGAGGGAGACTGTCTGGGCAATCAGAGATTCTGCCTCTTCTTCAGCAGCTCTGTCTGCATGTAACTTTAAATCTAAATTTCAGATTAATATATGTGTAAGAAAAGCTATTTTGACTTTACAATAAATTTGAGCCTCATTTTTAAAGACCCACTCTGATGAAAATCGTGTTTTTCTTGTCTATATGTTCATTTGACATATTTCTGATGCTACAGGACATATCGTGAGAAAACTTAGTGCAGAATTAAATTTCTGAGTATTTCTGCATTTAAATCACTGTGAATCTCTGGTAGACCCAAACAGCTGGTTCAGATATAGTGAGATTTTTTACGTAGCAAATCAAAGCTCCGCCTCTGGAGCCCTGCCATGCAGAGCTGACTCGGAAAAGTAGAGAGGATGATTGCAGAAAAAGTGTGCGTGTTAGCAGATTGCAATGCTCATCAAAAAGCTAATTATGATATTACATTTCATCATGACCCCAAAGATATTAGTATCAAAGAGCCGAATAGCTCCTTTGTTACCTGCCACTTCTGCGACACCGGCAATGTTAGGCTGCAAACTAGCGTGAAGAGGAGTGTGCAGAGCAGCGCTGTCTCCGCCCATGACTCAGAGGCAAATTACAACTTAAAGACCACTAATAACACTTTAAGTAGTAAAAAAACGATCGGAGTGGGACTTTTAACAAATGAAAGCTAATATGAGGAACTTTCTGTACAAAAAGGTAACCCTGACACTGATTTTGTTCAACCCTCTGAGAGTGGTGTTAATGACCAATAAATCTCCTCTACAAACTTCATTTGGCTCAGTAAAACACTGTGTCTTACAGAACCTTTTAAAGTTCCTGTGAAGGGCTTTTGGTTTGAGTCACCTCTGGCATCCTCTGTGGACAGAGCAGTCTCTGCTTACCTCATCCCACAAGAAATCAGTTAGTGTATTCTGACAAAAAAAAGAAAAAAAAAAACATCATTCTGACTTTTGACAGTCAAATGTTTCATTTATTATAAATATTTTATTTGGAAAACATAAAAACAGGGCTGTTTCCTTCTGCTCAAGTTTCAAGCATTAAAAGCCACAGTAAAAAAATCCTCCATCTTGTCCCTGATAGTCTTGTATGCTTTTGTTTATCATAAACAAGCATCAACATGAATTTCAATCTCTTACATAAATGTCACAAAAATCCTCACTTTAACAGACATGTTAAAAGTGACTTTAGAGTGGTTGTTAGAAGAGCCCCAGTCATTTCAAAACAACAAATAATGGAGCTATGATCATGAGATACCATAAGAAGCTCAGGCCAGCCCATTCCTCTTCAACCTCTAATTTCAGTAAAGGCACAACTGTCTTTTAAAAACCAACATGGGAGTTACAAAAATGTTAAAATCAATAGTCCCTGACGTCACTGCAGTACGTCTGCTCCTCGATTGAACGATCAAATACTCTTGATGGTTATTGAAAATAGTTTTCTAGTAAAGCCACAAACACAGAGAAACCTGAAGGTGAAAAACTGCCTCTATTATCCCTGACAGTACCTCCTGATGTTTTAGATCTTTGAACACTCTGGTGTTGCATAAACACCAATTTTCACTGTGCTAGAAATACTCCAGTGTGGCGTCTAACCATCTGTGTCTAGCTTAGTTATATAAGAGAGAGTTTCTGAGAGTCTGTTTCACTAAAATAAAATAAGACCAACATTTTTATCAGCAGTCTGTGGAAAAATCTGATCCTCATAGAGACAGAAATATTCATCATGCACATTTACATGGACGTACACACAGACAAAGCAGACAGGTGGCAGCTGGGCACACACTCACAGGTAGACCTGTCTCATATGAGCAAAAGAGAGCAGCCAGACATGTCTCCCACTCCCTCTCCCCCCTTCTCCTCTCAATGCCCTTCTCTCTCCCCCCGCCTGTCAGTCAGGGAGCACCCAGCCTAAAGTGTGTGTGACGCTCCCATCAGCCTAATTATCAGGGTGGAAGGACACACAACACTTCAGCAACAGCTCTCCAAATGTCCTCTACTGCCACACACTGCCATCCCTGAGGATGAGGAGGAGTGTGTGTGTTTGTGTGTGTGTGTGTGTGTGTGTGTGTGTGTGTGTGTGTGTGTGTGTGTGTGTGTGTGTGTGTGTGTGTGTGTGTGTGTGTGTAAATGTCTGCTGAGTCTGTGGGTGTGAGCATGCATGTTACACAGATCAAGAAGCATGCCATGCTTTATTAAGAGTAGCGCTAAAGGATGATTAAATAAATGTATCTGACTTTAACTTGCTTTCCATGTGTCTTGCTGAGTGTATTCATGAGTGTGTTCATATATGTGTGTGTGTATGTGTGTGTGCAGGTGTCACTGTGCAGGATCTCTCTTGTTCTGCAGAGCGTGGCAGGTAGAGGACTTTGGAAGATAAGTCCTGGGCAAACTCCAACCTTCTGCTGAGATCACAGTTTGCCCAGACTTCATGCATACGGATGAATAAAATCAAAATCAAAACCCCAGGTGCCCAAAAGTTTGTGGACGCCTCAACATTGTAACCAAATGTAAGTGATCAACTACTTTGTTCTTTAATAAATTAAAGGAGTAGTACAAAAGATATAGAGGGATTTTGATGATGTCACAGATTTATAAATGCAAAATTTCCCTAATTCGTCCCATCAGATGTGTGAGGTTGGAAATTGCAAAGGCTACCACTGTCTGGTTTGTTCACTCTGGGCTCCTGTAGAAAAAATCAAAGGGCCAAATGGGACAGTACCTGCTACATGTTTAAACATAAACAGTTTGAAGGCACTACTTTAAGGTTAGGCAAGAGTAATGACTCCTTATTCAGGTAATTAAAGGTATATTATGGCGTAAATTTAAATTAGGGTCAAACACACCTTGTAACACTGAGTTAGACACGCCCTGGAGAGATGAATGTTGCCAACTGCTTACTTCTCTAGTTATACCAACTTTAGTAACAACTGCAGGATACCAACACACAGCATTCTACATCTCCATACGCAAACCTCAACCAAAAAGCCACTCTATAGCCACCAATAATGCTCAGAACACCTAACTTCATCAACAGTATATATAGGGTCCCAGCCATAGTACTAACCACCAAACATCTTTTTACCTTTACTTGGTTTCTTCAGCAAAGAGACTAAACACAACTCACCAACTCTCCTCCAGTAGCTGCTTGTTTGTGGGGGAGCTCTGACGAGTTGATCACCTGGTGCAGCGGAGTTTCGCAGCTCAAGGAAGAACATTTATGATCATTACTTTATCATTTCCTTGAAGTAATAATCAACATATTAATCATTTTGCACTGCAGACACGGTAGCTCTTCTGCCTTAGCGTCTCGGTCTGATTGCATTTCCATGAAGTAATGATCATAAATGTTCTTTCTTGAGCTGCGTCACCCCGCTGCAGTCGGTGATCGACACGTCTGAGCTCTGCCTACAAACAAGCAACTGCTAGAGGAGAGTAGGTGAGTTGTGTTTAGTCTCTTTGCTAAAGAAATCAGGCAAAGCTAAAAAGATGTCTGATGGCTAGTACTATGGCTGGGACCCTATATGTACTGTTGATGAAGTTAGGTGCTGTTCTGAGCATTATTTGTGGCTAATGTGTGTTTTTTTAGACTGCTATGTATTGCTATTCTGCGGTCGTTACTAAAGTTAATATAACTAAAGAAGCAAGTGGTCGGCAAAATTCACCTCTCAAAGGGGTGTCTACCTCGCTGTTACGGTGTGTTTGACCCTAACTTAATTTTACGTCTGAATATCCCTTTAAGTCAAGTCAGTCAGCACAACCGTGTGTGCTCCTCTGGGGTGAATTTTATGGCAAAAGCGGATCTGATCTCCCATGGAGAGACTTCTGGAGTTGTGTCAGGACGATTGTTTGGTAAAAGACGTGAGTTGCGCATCTTTTCAGTTGAGCTGTATTTATAGAGAAAAGGAGGACTGAAACAATCAGAAGGGTTAAATGGGAATGAGAGCTACCTTAGTTGAAACAAACGGCTCCCTTTGGCTCTTGATGGCTCTCTTTTTTTGGTGTCTTTATGGTTGTCCTGCCTCATCCAGTGTCTCTGTGAATGGAAAATGATGGCTGCTGTTGTGAAACATTCATCACTCAGGTGACCTTCTGCGACTCACCGCTAGTTGAAACTCGCCCTCCGAGGCAGAAACAGCCTGAGAGTCGCTGCGGCCATTATCAGAATCATAATTCATCTTATCATAAAAACTGAGCGCTGTTCTTAGATTGATGCCTAACATCTGAGCTGCCTGCTGCCTGGTGGAGGGCCCGGCAGTGTCGTAACCTTGTGATAATGTTTCATTTCATCCTCTCCTTGTCTTGCTGTACAGTAACACCTCGGCTGGATCATTTGGCCCATAAAGCTTAAGACTTGGTGGGAAATTGGATTTGAAGCTGAGTGAAGGCCCTGGAGGCTGGAACATGATGACGTTTGGGTACAGAGAAGAAATTCTCTTTGTAGCTCTTTTCTCTTCCCTTCCTTCCTTTTCCTTCTTATTATTCTATCAATTATTCAAGGCTTACAGTGGTGTGCAATAATATTCCTGTACTACATCCTACAAGGAGCCATTGTGGCTGAGCACGACACAGTCGCCTTTAAACTTTATGAATTCATCTATTCTCCTGGTCGAGGTCTGCTCTGACACTTTCAGAGAGGCTGTAACGATCGTCATAGATCAAAATCACGGCGAGAAAAAAAGGAATAAAGTAAACCTTGAACAGGAGCAGTATCAAAAGACCCACTGCAGATGTGATTCAACAGCATCCCAGTGTGTTAAAGATTTAATTTTCAGCACCAAACGGCTTCTTCTTCTTCACCTTTTCTCCTTTTCTTCAGCTTTGTGTACCTGTGGTGGGTCAATAACACAGGAGCAGAAACCTGGAGGGGGAGGGGCTCCGATGGAAGAATACAATCTCCTCGCTAAGCTTAGACCCCCTCTGGAGTTGGGACTTAATATTTCATCCAGCGGTGTCAGCTCGTACCCGCAGCCCCTGATCACCAGCAGCCTTCATCTGTAGCTCTCTGCAGCACAGGTGATGCGTCAGAAACAGTGTGTGTTTGACAGAGGATACTCATCGGTCAGCGTGAGGAGGTCAGCGCTGAGATGAGCCCGTCTCTGATGGATGTGTCACTCATTCCCATATGCTGCTGTGTTTTAGCCTCTGCAGACAGCAGGATCACTTCTCAAAAATGACAGTTTATACTTTCTGTATGTGGCCTTTTCAAAGCGTGGGGCAAGTCCATGTCATGATCCAAAATATCTGTGTGCTTTTATGTCTCAAGCCTCAGCATGAGTGCACCATTATCCTGTCAAATGTGATCACAGCAGAAAATTACTGAGGGGTTATTCATTAATAAACACAGAGAGGTTGCACGGGTCAGCGACAGTTTCCTAAATTGAACATAACTTTTAACTCAAATACTGAAAAAATTTGAAAAGGAAAACACTTTGACTCTATTCTGACCTCCAGTTTCAGTACGCAGCAGGTGCTTTCAAAACCGCTTTCAGCAGCATCAATTCAAAAATAGTCAAATTTCATCTGCAAGTTCTGCAGCTTTGTTGAGAAACACTATTGTAGTGTAAATCAATATCTGCCTTTCCTCCTTTTTAGCCATGTAGAATCGAGTTCACAACCTTCGTAGGATGGACACTGATCAGTCTTTTGTCTAAACGGAGATGAGAAAGAAAGCTTAGGAAGTTTGAACTTTTTACCTGAAACAATCAACATACTGATTTGAAACTGCAATACTGAGACAGCCTGATCGATTTGAATCCCTAGTCCTAGTCTGGCATCCAGGCATCCAGAAAGGGGCTCTGTGAACCTGCTTTGCCTGACATTCTTCTGGTCCCTTATATTTTAGCTTCTTTGGTTTATTTTTCTACCATCTCCATCTCTCAGTTAGGGATGTAACAATATGAAAATTTAACATAATTATTGTGACCAATATTATCACTGTTATCAATATTATCACGGTACTGTTGAAATATGTTCAAAATGTTTAAAAAGGACTTATTCACGCCCTGAAATCATTTAACAAAGTTTTATTTTGAAAAAAACAACCAAAATAACACGCAAAACGAACTTTTCCCTAACCTTAAATAACAGAAGGACGATAAGCTTAAAAAATTAAAGAGCCTTATAAGAGCCAGAGGTAATCAACACTAGTTCTAGTAATAACAAAGTACAAAGTAATGTGCCAGTGGCATAAACATTAGCAGAATAACAAATTAATAAAACTTAAATAAAATTACATTCCTTAATGTGCAAATTGTAAGTATTTTCAGAGCTCGAAAAAGATCTACTCATAATAGAGCAACACAATACAACCACATGTAAACACAAGGGGGAATGCAGGTGTTTAAAATAACATAAAATATGTAAACTAATCAGATGAACCACACCGATTGTCTGTTTTCTCCACCATAAGGTGCTGCTGCTGACTTTGTTCAATACTTAGGATTGAAATGTAAAAATGTCAGCATATTTACTTGGTCTGGTTCAAGTAGTCATCTGTGAGGGGAAACGATGTGTCCGCTAGCACTGAATAGCCTCTCGGATGGCACGCTGGTTGCTGGGATGCACAAAAGCTTCCTGGCAACCCTTTGTAGAAACCAAAATAAGCCCAGACTTCAGACTTTGTTTTCTTTAAAAGTGGAAAAATCTCTGCAACACGGTCGGCAGAAATTAAAATGGTAGTACTAACCGTCACACATTTTGCCGCGGTTTATCATTTTACCAGTTATCGCTACATCCCTACTCTCAGTGAATCAGCTTATGGTTATGAGAAGACCCTACCTGTTCAACACAAATGTTTTCATAAAGTTTCTATATCCTAAAATAAATTGTTTTATATTTGTTGACCCCTGTGGAAAGTGTATATTTTCTATATTTGTATTTCTACAGTGAGAGAAGACTTTGACTCTGTTTTAGGCTGCTCTCACTTCTCATTGGATCTTACAGGTCAGCTGATAGCAGATACAGTTTCAGATTGGTCAGCAGACCCAAACAAAGATGGCAGCCTCTATCTAGCCCAGTCAGCAAACATACATAAGGCTGTTACACTAAACTGATACATAAGTCATCAAAGATTACCGTCAAGTTGGAGTGAATGTCTCCGAATAGTCTCTGTGATTGATAAAGGCTCATGGAAATGGAAAGTCTCAGTTTATCAGCTAAAAGATGCCAGTCTCACAGAGCAAGTGGATTTTACAGACCGACACTATGTTTTATTTTTCAATTTTTAGAGCTGATTATGTAAAGACAACAAATTTTTTTTTGCATACAACTAATTACTAAACCCCTACTATAGACAACCCTACTCTTTTTAGATTACTTTATTTAAGTCAATACTAGTACCAGTACCAGTAGGCTAACATCTCCTATCTATGCTAACAGCACAGAACCACTTACTATAACACTACTACTCATTTCATTCATGTTCTTTGTTTGATGCTTGTGTCAGTGCTGTATTCCAAAATCCTTATCAATGAATCTGGCAGACGTGAACCTCAATAAACCAGTATCTTCTGTCAGATAATGCTCACATTTGTTACATGCAGTCTGGACTGCAGCTCTTGGTACATGGAGATCTGCTTGGTCAATATTTATTCAGAGGGTGGGCAGTTTTGGTGTGTTTTAACACCGAAATATTGCCTCCAGCAGCTGAAAAAGGGAAAGTTTTTATTTATATGTTATCTTATACTGACCACTACTCGGTTGTATGTGGGTGATGATGACCTTTGACCCAGTAACAAGTTACTTTGGGGTCCCAGGAGATTGTGAGTGGGCCGACTCTCCTGCAGCTGTCAGAAGTGAAAACCTTCGGCAGCTAGCTGAGATGACCTTCCTGCAAAAAAGTGGAAACACATAAACTTCTTATATCAGAGTTTTGTCTAATCGAAGAATCTCTCAGTGAACTTTAGCTGTGATTGCTCTAACACCATAAAATAAAACATGAGATAAACTGAATGCTTATCTGCAATTAAGTTACATTTTTTTCACTCTCTACACAAAATTTGGTCAAAAACACGAAAGCGCTAACCCCATCAGCGGGACTTGATAGTCTGAGCTAGAGCTGCTCGACAATGGCAAAACTCATAATCATGATTACTTTGATTGACATTGATATCAAGATTATTAAAACTTATTACCCATGACTTTTATTACCAAGTCTTTTCAAGCTATCATTCTGTCCCTTGGCTTTTCAGACACACCTGCCAGATCCTAAACTTTGAGCCGCTTATGATGAAGTAAAAGTGAGATCTTTGTGAGGGGAAGGTCCATGCCCACAATCCTCTGCTGAGGTAGAGATAGAGGGTGCGCTTCAGCATATTTTCATATTTTCAACATATAGGATGTAAAAATGCAGGCATAATATTACTCAGTCCAGATGATCATATTTAAATGATCTTGGGGGACCATAATCATGGCTAAAACAGAAATCTTAAAGGTCCCTATCATAAAAAATCCACTTTTCGGTGGTTTTCTACCCATAATATGCATCCCCTCGCCAAACAGCATTAGTCATGAGGGGTAAGTATAACATTTCACTTTTTAAAATATTGGGTATTCACTGAAAGAGCTCCAAGTAACGATGAGACAGTGGAGACAAAGCCGACAGATAAGCTAAACCTCCTAGCAATGTAACGTAACACACTAACAAAGTAAAAAGACAAATATAAAGACACATATTTGTAACTAACCACTCAGAATTGGACCTTGGCGTCAGATAAGCTAACCCACCTACCAGTGTAACATAACACACTGAGTAAAATCACAGATATAAAGACGAATAATATTTGTAATCAACCATTCAGAAACATCCTGTTTCAGCCGTAGAGTTTGACTTTCTATGGGAGCCTCTCCCTTTGGGTCAGACTCTGGGTCAAATTGGTAGGGCTGGACCACAGCTTCTGCAAGCCATCACACTGCACAGGCTGTAAATATTAGCCTATAGTATCACAGCGAAAGCCGCAGCTCCTTCCAGAGAGGGGCATGGTTGCACACAGCTCATTATCATTTAAAGGTACAGGCACAGAATCAGCCTGTTCTCAGTGGAGCTCAAAAAAGAGAGCGGTACAGGCTGGCTGATATTCACAAATAAACTAGTGCTTTAGACGACACACTTAAAATTTACTATTGTTGGACCTCTGCGACTGATTTAAACTTGATGAAAAATGCCATACTAGGGGACCTTTAATAATCGCCCAGCTCTATAGTCTTAGCTCCCCTGTTGTTAATACACAGACAACAACCTCAACCCACATTCAAAAAACATAAACATATGTGGTAAGTACATAAACAAACAAACATCATGACTGACAAATAACTCAAGTTAACACCATCTTCAGTCTTGTGTTACAATTTAAATGGGAACACCAATCACAGCAATACTAACAGGATGGGGCAAAAACAAGCATCCAAGTTTGATTGATTTGGAATATTTACAATGAGCGTTTTGGAGAAACTCAAGACAACAATGAATTTAATTTTTCCTAATTTGGTTAAACTGTACAGCACTGCATGTGGCTTCATGTCCTTCTTTTCTATTTAATTTTGAATCATCATTGTGGGTTCTGTATCTAAAAGCCTTTATTTAAGATCAGTCTGACTTCTTTGGCTCTTTGTTTGAATTTTTTTCCACGTTTTTTTTTCTTTTGGATGTATGTTTGGAGAAACTGTAAACAAAAGACATAGGGGTAGTGCCCCCTCTAAAGGCCAAAATCAGTCACTGCAAAGCCTTCCTATCAAACAACCCTTATTCACAGTCAGATCTTCTGTTGTAGCTACAACATGTGAATGCAAACACTGTTTTATGAGACACAGCTCTTAAAATCAACAACCACTGCACTGGAAACAAATGTAGACCACACCATCTCTCTAAAAGCCTGGTGTCACCTGCAGTCATGCAGTGTTGTCTGTCAGCCCCACACTTTCACGCTTCGGGGCTTTACGACCACATCCATCCTCATGATCGCTACTAACACATCAAACACAATATGAATTCTGCCCCCTTTTCTGCCTTGTTCACCCCCTGCACACAAACGATGCAGCCGCCAGTCGCTCCGAGCTCTTTTCATTATCGCCCGGGCCATTTGTCTGCCAGGCGGATCCTCTGAAAGATTAGGATTTGTCAGATGTCAGGTAACAGCCTTTGAACACGGTTGTTATTTTCCAGAAGTCTCGCCAGAAAACAAGACTGTATTCTGGTGATGGAAAACAATGCAATGTCACAGGAAATGCATGCTGAAGTGAAGGTGATGTATCATAAATACAGGGTGTGGATTTGTCCCTGCAGAACACTGCACAGACAAATGAGCACAATAGAGAGGGTTCCTGCAGAACAAATGCTTTATAACACACTATATCATTGTTTTTTTCAATGTCAAACAGCACACAAAGAAATCTAGAGGCAGACAAAGAGCAAGTACTCAACACTGAAACTTGCAGTGACTCTGCAGACCTTAGCAATTGAGATTTTAGCCTCCTGCAAACTTTGAGCCTATTCAAATCTGACTTGGGCGAGTTATTTAAGACAAAGTAAACCTCTGAATCAGATGACCTGAATATAAAAGGAACTTTACCCTGTGAATAACCCCAGAACAAAGTCTGTTTGATGTCCTAATTCACCAATGTGTGAATAAAGTAGACACTTATCTGCAGCCTTCTCAGTTTATGACTTTAATGGTGTTGTGCAACAGCAGCTGCTCCATTGCAGATATGTTTCCTGTTCCTCTGTTTATTGTTTAATGGTGTCATTGGTGCTGCAGTTATGTTAAAATACATGTTGCATTAACATCAGTGCAAAAAATTCTGAGCATGTCCAGTAGCTGAGAAAACGTTTAATCCAAACCCACCAACTGTTTTACACAAGGGGCTCTATTTTCGTGTCCACCGGTGAGGCGACGGAGGGTGGCGGACCCCGTGCAGTTGTATGTTCGTCTGGTGGAGCCCAGCGTGCAGCCAGTTTGGTATTTTCGTGGACTGAGGCGCATCAAGGTCCGCTAAGCTGGGCGTGGCAGGGGGAGGTGTCGGCAGAATCAGCTGGCGCAGTGACATTTTTTCGTGCTCGCCGGTGGTGTATAAAGTGCGCTGAAAGCTCACCGATTCAAACCTGGTCAGCTTTCAGTGCAGGCGGAGTGCAGCTGGTCTAGTGATATTTTGGTAGACCGGCGGCGTATCGGCATACGTCACTGATGCCTAACCGGCAGGTTTCCACAGTGTCAGGCACATTTCAGTGCAATAAATAATCATCAACAACTATTAATCTGAGTCAGCACATACATTTAGATCTATATCGATATATTCTGATCTATATCTGATCTGATGAGCACGATTGGCACGCGTTTGGACACACAACCTGACCGAATCAACACAGCTGAAACAGCATTAAATTAAATTAAATATCCAGTAAATAGACACACATGATGAAGTTAACAAGATATGTAATTCGTCTCCCTCCTTTTTCTTTCTTCCTCTTCTCTTATTTCTCGCGCAGCTCGACCTGGACATGTCTACATGTCCTCTTCCCGTCCTGCTGCAGCTGCTGCTGCGGCGGCTGAACAGATGATTTGTTTCAGTGCTCAAATGAGTTATTTACTTTAAGCCTACATACGAATATTATAATATTCAGTTTTGTGAGCCAAATTTATTTTATATGCCAACATCTATGAAAGAAAGAGCCAGGCCACGGAGCGCGATGCGTCCTTTACGCACAGATGGTTTCGATTTTAATGCCATTATTGGAGTTTATGTTGTGATCTGTGCGCACAACCCTTCTTTGTCACGTGAGGTCTAAATATGTGTTGGTCACCTGGATGCTTTATTAGGTGGCATCTTGTTATGATCACTTCATAATTGACTAACTATGTAAACGAACATTTTCTAAAGCGATTCCGTATCTTTCATTTTTTATGCTCATACAGTAACAGATATGTATAATTAAGTGAAGGTCATCAAGGTAAAAAAGTGGTCACCAGTTTGGTAACTTGGAATAACTTGGGATCCATACTGGATTGCATTTTTGTTCTTTTACCTGTGGACTGTAGGAATCACAGCTGTCCAATCCTCTGTGTGATCACACCACCAAATAAACCCAGCAAAACAGAAACTAGTAACTGTAGCTTTTATTAACCCAGGTTTTGAGTGTTTTTATTGTCAGCACACATCTGAGTTTTTAACAAAGCCAAATTGTCAGAGAAAACTTTTTTTTTTTAATGACATGTTTTACAAAAGGAGGGTTAGCTCTGGTTCATGCAGCATCAAAGTAGTCAGCTGTGTGAAGGAAAAACAAAATGACTGCATCAAGAGAATCCCAGTCTGTCAGATGCTCTGCATTAAATATTCAGCATTCTGCCTTGTTTATTTTTCTGCGTTTGATGTTTGCTGAGGTGCAGACACACATCTGTTTGACATGAATCAAACAGATTGACGCTGACTGACAGAAGAGGGAGGAATAAGTGAAGTGATCCCCCTTACATCAAATGTTTTCACCTCCCCTTTTCCTTTAAGCGCTGCAGGTGAAGAATACATGAAAAGCTTTGCTCTTATTTAAACAAGGAATAGATGCCTAGATCAAGATGTCAAATATTCAGATGTTAAATCTCACTACATAAGAGTGACTGTTACAGCCATATATTCTCACTTCTGATGTTTATACTGATGTCCTTTTCATACCCTGACTCCACATACAGTTCCCTGAACTTTGTCATCTGGCCAGCATGAAGGCCTTTCTGACGAACAGTTGCACAGAAACATAAAATGTCTTTGCTGCAGCGGCTATACCTTGAAAATGCCTAAGGTACAGCTTAATAAGGAATAAGGCATATCTAAAGGTTACATACTACAGTGCTGAAGGACAAAGCAGGGCAGCTGCATTCCTCTGATTCCCCTGAAGGTTCAGACATGCTGCTGCTTTCTGGATGTTGCTCAGATAGAGGCTTTGCAGTGGGCTCTGTAAAACATTGTGTGCATTTACCATCAATTAAAGCCTACAGATACAGTGATTACATATATTGAGATTGATCCAGTGGTAGTCTCAGACTGTGTGCCATTATTGATGAAAACTGAAAATTAAAAAGACATTATGATTGACGTCTTATGATTGATAATAAAAAAAAAAAAAAACTGTGTTCTATTCCCCAAGACATGGCTGTGATTTCTTTTTTTTTTAGGTCAAAGTGACCTTGAACTTTGACCATCAAATTTGAATCAGTTCATCTGTGACTCACAGATTTATGTGCCAAAATTACAAAAATAGAAATCCTCACAACTGCCTGAGGTATAACAGAATGAAACGGAGAGAGGGATGAACAGACCGCCTAATAACATCAAGCTCTCAGTACATCGTCGACCCAAGAGAGGCATAAACATCATGCTCAATGTCCCGCCTGCCACCAGCCAGCAAGTGGCAGCAAAAGGGAAAGCCCTTTAATTGGGACATGAAGAACGAGGCATGCAGCGGTTAATCTTGTGACAATGCACAAGAGTGAGTTGTTGAACCTAGTTTCAGGATGAACTCTTAAAATAATACAGTACAGAAGGAGATCTTTGCAGGAGGTGCAGAGAGTTAAAGAGCTTGGACCTTATCAGTCGGACATCAGAATTAGGACCTAGAAATGTAAAATAAAAAATAAAAAACAAGGAATGGATGTCTAGATCAAGATGTCGAATACTCATATGTTGAATTTCACCACAGTCCATGGTACAAAACCCCAACCCTTCAATTAAGACAACGAGCTTCACCACAGAGCCATAGCTGACCCTCATTACCATTATAGGTCAACAACGGTATTGAGACACCTTTCCCCTGGGGATAACATGATACTAACAATATTGTTTTCAAGGAGATGGTTTACTTATGTAGCCGCTTGGTAGAACTGCTTATATGTATTTGAACCATTTTGACTCGTTAATGTTCTAAAAGCGAAATGTAAGTGTTTTGTATCATTTTCTGATGAATGCAACATTTTCAGGTATCTTATTAAATATTACTGCAAAAATATGTTGTCTTACAGTATTTTAACTGGATGGTATGTTCTTGGCACTGCTGGTTTTGATGTCTCATAATTTTGTGTGCCAGTCACCAAGTGATGTGTGTTCATTTAGAATGTAATATTAGCTTGCATAAAGCAACATATATTATTTTACTGTGTCAATGAAAAACCAGCAAAGGTTTTACAGTTCATTTATCTTTGTTTGAATGTAAATACAGTATGTTCTTTGGTTTAGTCTCCAGTGGGTGCCATGCAGCATTACATGAAACTGTTGAAATATAAGTGTACTTTGTACATCTCCAATTGCACACGTATGGATTTGAAGGTGGGATCGTTTTGCTAAATCTCTCTTTAACAGTTTCTATTTTCTTTGTTCTGTTGGTAGCCAGAGCCCACTGCTGTATTTTAGGTATTTAGTTTGTTTAATATATTGTAACCATTTTCTTGTCACCGCAAGTGAAGCGGTGGAGCCCAAGGTAATCAAGAGCAGTTACACAGCATATGCACTGTGTTCCAATCACTTCAATTGTGGTTGTTATTAAAGCACCAGCTACAAGAACCCCAAAAGAACTGTGTCCTGTGTAACGTTGAATTTTGCAGGTTACACTTAGAAGGCTTGGTTACAGGCACATTGTGATGCTAAAGTGTTATTTTGCTTTCCCTGTCTTGAACATCAGGATCAGACCTTGTATGGATTCACAACAGTGTGACCGATTAAGTGTACTTCTCAGAAAAAAAAAAAATCAAATTAAATAAAAAAAAAAAAAAAAAAAGTCAAGCATAGGTCCACTTGATACAGCCTATGAGCGTACGAAGATTACGTTGCTCACCCGGAGATTGAGCTGAGCGTTATCACAGCTCCCGCCGAATGCATACAATGTGTGTACAACGCTACTGAGCAATATTGGTTTCAGGAAGTGGAGCCAAGTTGTCCATAGCATATGTCCACAGTCTATGATCCACACCGAATAAATTTGACTAACTTAAACAAACTGCACCAGCTACCACCACCAAAACCATTATTTTTGTAACAGCCTAATCAGCACAGCACAAAGCAGGTACAAACTCTGCAAAGCTGCTGACAAGGAATATTTCAAAACTTATCAACACAAGCAGCTTGTTGAAAGGCCTCCACCTTAAGTAGAGGTATGTGATTATACTGTACAGTATATGGTTATCTCACCTCTGTGCTTCACCCTGCAGAAGGGGGGGGGGGGGGGGGGGGTTATGAGTAGGGGTGAAAGGTTACACTGGCTAGTTCTTCTTCCTGTTTAACCCTGCTTTGTTCACACCTGACCAGCTGGTTCCTGCAGGCAGAGGCCAAGTGAGTGGAGCAGAGATACGGTGCTGGTTAGATTAGCTCACCATGACCTCAATTAGCCTCTGCTCAAATGTACTGTATGTGTCAGCTGTAAGAGCTTGAATATTGTGGGTTTGAGATGAACTTAGTGTATGTTTGATGAATCTAACAGACAAGTTGATTCAAATTTAGCTGCAGACAGAAAATGAACGTTTTGGTGTCCTACAGCAAATTTAAACAATTACATAAGGCTGCTACCTGTAATGGTGCCACAGTAGGAGAACTTGGCTTTCTTGGGAAGCACGGCGTGCAAAGAGGAATTTCTTACTCAACTGAATATAACTTTAACACAAGTCCTGAGTGATAGGGATGAGTTTAGGGCCAAAGATGAGAACCTCAATCACACACCTTTCTTTAGCTTTTTGTAACAATATATTTGAATGTTAAGCTTATTTTGGTTGTTTTTGACTACATATATCACTCATTTCAGTGCATGATACATTGCTGTGAAAATCTCAGAAATACCGAGAGAAATTCGGCTTCAAATTCATATAATTATGGAAGGCGGAGCCAAGTTGTCTGTAATATATACAGTCTATGAATGAGACATTATGAAGGCACTGGTGTGCTTGCCATAATTTCAGGGACCAAAGAAAATTAACTGTCCTGCCGTCATACAGTCTGTGGCTAATGACTACAATCTGATGCTAATAGATTTTGAGATGTGTTTTGTGAAGTTATCAGTGAATAAATCAAGCCATCTAAAGTGTCAAAATTAAAACTGTTAATATTTTTTATAATTTCTCTAGAAAGAAATGTTTTAGTTATACAACCAGATTATGCAAACTCTAAATACTCCATTCCCTCACTCTGAGAAAAAAAGGCCTTGAATCAAAGACCACAGATGTGTTTATGTTTGTGCTGGGACTGTGAGTTACACACTCTGTTGATGTGTGTTCTAGTCTGCTCCTGTCATTGGTTATTGAGGGTACACTGCTGGACGTGGTCCATCCTGGAATTGTAAATATTAAACATGTTTGATGTTTCCAATCCCGGATCAGAGAGGCTCAGACTCGGTCAAGAGCAGTAAAACAGTCTAAAAACAAACACTTGAGGATTATTTGGACTCATAATCGGTTATGACAAGCACTGAATCAAGTCGAGCCCCTCCAATCACCGGAAGAGGCAAATCAAACCCTGGATCTGTCCTGAAACCATCCAGGGAGGCCAGCCTTGAGTGTCGAAATTTCCTGTTTAAACTGTAAAAAAATATAGGGAAGCATAGGTTTATGTGGTCTCAGAATTTTACAGTTGTAAGTCCAAGTTGTTTGTGGTTTTACAGCAAAAAAAAGGATGAGCAGATTTTATCATTCACAACAGACACTGTTTTTGTAAGCTGTGAAACAACTGACAGAGAAACACAGCAAGTAGAAATAAAAACCGAGCTGTCGTAAGTTGCTGCTCACCCGTCTGATATGCCGTCTGAGTCAGAGGAGAAACTGGGAGGTCAAGGCTCTGTTTTCAGGCATCCTTCCTTCCTCCTCTCCTCTGCCCGCTCCTTCTGTTCCTTTTTTCTGCAGGAGGTGGAAGTAGCTTTGGCTTCGCTTAATTGCTGACTCCTAACGCCTGCAAAGCAGAGAGACACAAGCGGATGTCATAAACATCAGCAGCGGGTTTTAATAATGATCTATGTTCTCTTTCCTACCATCAAAATGACAGGAGAGAGAGAGCTAAATAAAAATGTCAAGCCCACACATTCATCTCCTGTCTTTGTCAGAGACTAAAAAACCATCTCAGATGATGAGCTACATTCTCATATGCTTTGCAATAATCCCCTCACACACACACACACTCATGCAAGTGCACTGTAAATCATCCAAATCAGAGCACAGCAAAGCAGCAGGCGGGCACAAATGACACCTAACTGGAGCATTATGGGGAAAAACGTGTTAAGTCTGGCCAGATTAATGGCTTAATTAAGATGGTTTAGCTTCCAACCGTAACCTTTCCTCAAATACTGTTTGCTTGTTTTCCTCATGCTGCACGCGTAATTACCTTTGCATTAATTCTACAGTGGAAAATTAAAAGACAGGAAACACTGTGGAGGTGACTTTGCCAGGAGAGAGAGCGGGTGTGTTCCCTAATAATTTCACATCATGAGGAGTTTGTGAGGAAGGCGGGGAAGGAAAAAAAAAACAGGTCAAAGAGCAGCGAGCTACTAAGCTCATTACGGTGAGCTGGAATGGAGAGTGGAGGTGGTTTCCACTGTGTCTCCTGTGTGATCCTTCATTGTTGGAGCCCACAGGGTTACAGAGGATATATCACAGAGCTAAGAGGGCCCTCACATGAAGTAAAGGCTGTAGTTCAGCCGGAGGAGATGTTTTGACTGTTAAGAGGGTGCCAAGCAGTCTTCAGGAGTTCTAATAACTCTGTGACTGAGAGAGAGAGAGAGAGAAAAACATGAGCAAGATCTACTGTGACAGTTACCTAATTAGAGATATATATTAGGTTTAGCAAAACCTCACTGTTGTTTCCATATATTCCTGAGGGAGTTGTACTGTTGGTATTATTTCTCTACAATACTCTGGTGTAAAAACTTATGATTTTAAGCCCACTGCATACAACCATCAAACTATGCCATCTAGTAATAGTGTCTAGCTGTAGATTTACCCAAGAGGCGACTCCCATTGTTGAGAAATGAAGCCAAAGCAGAAGTGAGAAAAACTACAGTTCTCAAATGTCCACCTGAGGCTGGCTCTAAAAGTCAAAGAATGCCCATGAACACTCATGTGAAATATCCAGGCTGTTACAATACCAGATTTCCCCCTTATGTTTATGGCAGCCATTAAATATCATAATACCATGTTCTATTAGTGTGATTACAGAAAACTTGAAAATATTACAACACAGTTGGTCAACTTAAGGACAGGCGAGTTAGCCACCCCCTCAACTCGATTGCTTGCTTCTCTAGTTATACCAACTTCAGCAACTACTGCACAACAACAATACACAGCAGTCTATGGCTCTGTGTGCACACCTCAACCAAAAAGCCACTTTATAGCCACAAATAATGCTCAGAACAGCACCTAACTTCATCAACAGTGCATATAGGGTCCCAGACATAGTACTAGCCACCAAACATCTTTTTAGCTTTGCCTGGTTTCTTCAGCAAAGAGACTAAAAACAACTCACCCACTCTCCTCCAGCAGCTGCTTGTTTGTGGTGGCAGCCCTGACAAGTCACAGAGTACAGTGGATCATTTCCATGAAGTAACAATAATCATATTAATAATTTTGCACTGCAGACACAGTAGTTCTATTGCCTTAGTGTCTTGGTCTGATTGCATTTCCATGAAGTAATAATCATAAATTTTCTTATATGTACTGTTGATGAAGTTAGGTGCTGTTCTGAGAATTATTTGTGGCTATAGAGTGACTGTTTGGTTGAGGTGTGCGCGTGGAGCCATAGGCCGCTGTGTATTGCTATCATGCGGTTATTACTAAAAGTTGATATAACTAGAGAAGCAAGCAGTCGGCAACATTCATCTCCCGAGAGGGTGTCTAACTCTGTGTTCTGGTATGTTTGACTATATCTTAAATTCATGCCAGAATATCCCTTTAAGTTTTAAACAGTGCCTGATAATCTCTCATAAAGCTGCTACAGCTAGCTCACTAGCAGCTGCAGCTTCTTCTTTGTCTCTCCTCCATTTTTACACTTCTGCATCTTCAAAATAGACTCTGTGCAATTTTTACTGTTGGATATCATCTGACGAATTTTCTTTGTAGCAACAGTTTGGTCAAGCTGTTGTTAAAAGTAGCTTACAGTTTTAGAAACAGGGATTGAATTGAATTCTCTGATCATCAGCATGATACAAACCTACCAGGAGACTAAGGGTCAGAGCTACATTGATCTTACGATACTTTAATGACCTTTTCTTTCTAACGCAGGTCTTAAGCGAGGGCAGAAACAGACTCCTGCATCTGTTCCCAACCTCTTCTGCTCCAGTTCTTATTTGTTATCTAGCGAGCAGCTGGCTGGTAATATTTCGCCCACAAGTGGAGCCAAGCACTTCAGCCTAGGAGGAGGGCACGGAGCACTTGTGCTCCAGCATGCTAATTTGGCTCAGTTCAGTGATACACCGAGTGCACCAGTTTAGCTGGGAGGCATGTCTGTTCCATTTGCATACCACCACACCCCTGATATTACTTATTAATCCTCAGATGTGACATCTAAGTCCAAAATGCAGCAGTCTTAATTAAAGTGTGTTTCTATCAGCATTGCTAATGACTCGTAGCTTCAAATGTGCAAAAGTTTTTTCCCTGGAGTGGCTGCAGGCTGCCAAGAGTGTGGGAGGTGGCTCAGTGACCTCGCCTCAGACGTGACTAATTTCGTTAGCTCTTTGTGTTTAAGTCACTCTTCCACTTTAGATTAGCTCTTTTTAAACTGATTTATACTTCTAACAGGCAGGCAAGTGGGTGTGTGGCTCTGTCTGTTTGACGCACCATACACACAAATGTTTTTGACAACAGAGTGTATCATGAAAGCTCCATAGTAATGTGCTGGAGAGAGAAAGAGAGGGAAAACACAGACGAAAGCTGCCGATTCAATGACAGGCTGTGGTATTTGTCTGGTGTGACAAGAAAATAAAAAGGCAGTGGGAAGAAGCGAAGTATCATCAATACATGAGCCCAGAGTGAAACTTTTGTGTTTGAAAGCATAGACACTTTGAAGTGAAACCCCATCACGCCTTTTCTCGTAACTGCCGTCTGTTCTCCCAGTCAATAACAAGTTATTCTTCGGTGTGGGAGTGAATCCTGACCACAGACCAGAGGCTGGCTTGAAAAGCTCATTAAAGATGACAATGCTTGGACGGACGACTTGATTGGTGGTTTGAAATGTAGACATTTGCGACTGGAGGGAGGAGGAGGTGACCTTTTTTTATGTTTCTGATCATGGCAGTCCTTGGGTGGCAGCTTGTTGCCAGGCAACAAAAGAGGCACGGTCTTGAATCTTGACAGTGATTAGACAAACTACCATGTTGTGGCTCTAATGTAAACCTCAGAGTCTCTGCAGTAACCTAATCATTAAGTCCTATAAGGGAATTTCTGATGCAGAATAGCATTAGCTGGAAAGTACTATCTGCCAGCGACTGTGTGATGAGAAACAGACTAGTAGTGTTGACAAGATGGACCGGGTTGTTTCATGTCAACATAGCCAGAGACAAATGGCAGACAGCGACAACACAAGCTGGCACAGTCATAAGTGACAGAGTACCACAGGCAAGGGTAGGAGCCAAAAGACTGACTGAGCTTTGTTGTGTTTACTGAGACAAAGCATGAAGACAACAGCAGAGACACAAAACCAAACCAAACTCAGATGGTGTCTATACATATCTCTGAAGGCCACACTGTTCGATTTTAACTGAGTATTCTCTTTTTACAGATTCAGCGTGAAAATATCAAGTTTGTTGGCAGAGGGTCTGGATTCTAGTTTGAGGAGTTTTTGTAGTTCAAGCAGTTCCATCAAACACCAGCAGGCTCTGACATAGTATCAAGGACTGGGTATTGGGGTATTGAGATCAGTTACAACTTGGAACCAGCTTTTCAGATTGATGGATTCGACAAGGCACACAGATTTCAGCTCCACTTTTCGGTTGTTGACAGCAACATGAATCTTTCAGCATTAAACTTCAGTTGGAATTTCAGAAGTCCCATTGGCTTCACGTTTATCTGTAAAGACCTGCTGTAGGGCTGTCAGTTTTTCAAAATATCAACTTCAAACAAATATTGAACATGACGTGCAAAACTTCAGCTCCGTTTCAATTTTGCAATCTCGTCTGTGATCGCCTTTTCCCAAGACTCTTGCAAGGGGCCTGCCATAAAAAAAGCAGTCAGACAGGATTGGCCAGCTTACAATGAGAGTGCCATCTGCTGGATCACACAGCAAGCTACCTCAGGCAACCTGATGTGCTGGTATACTCAATAATTTGAGATGGACAGACTCTTTACAGTTCAACTGAGAACCTAAATGTAAATTTAAAAAAAAAGTGACGGCCCTGACCTGCTATAATAATGTAACATGGCATCATGCAACATGGTGTGTAAAGTAGGGCTGCATTATTTTGGCCAAAAATAAAATCCTGTCGATTTAGATTTTTTAATCAGTGACAACTTCACCAAACTTAACTTTAAAAACAAAGTTTTTCTATTATCTCTCAAACCAAACCACTTAAAAAAACAATGTAGTGTGTATGCCAAGCCAGCATGTGGTGCTGTAACGCTGCACAGGAAATGCACAAAAGACAGAAGAAGAGTATGGAGCATGTGTATAAAGGTTGTTTTGGCCGGACACGCTCAGCCGCCATAAAAGAGTTATGTTGTGTGTCACATAGTCATGTTGAGAGAGATGCAGATAGGCATCAACATAAAGATGAAATGGTAGTCGTTTACAGATTTATGCACTCTCATACCCAAAAAGTACTTTTGCGTTTACTCCTGAATTCATTTCCTGTGGACAGGTTGATATCGCCTTCAGACAGACTTTGCAGCGGGGAGTGGTTTGCTCTTCATCCAAAACTGCGAAGTCGTACCAATTCCACACAACTGACTTGCTCTGGCCCCTTTTAGCCTCAAAATTATTGTCTTCTTTTGCAAACACCATGTTTGTTTACACTGGTGTGTGCGGGAACTGGGGAGCGCTCTCCCAGGAAAGGGGGAGCCTATGG